GGCTCAAAAGGAGCAGGTAGAAGTTATTTTAAAGCAGAGAATATTCAACCTTTAAGCAATTTACGAAAGGAAAAGGAAGGACTGTTTCTTCGTAGATCTAAAGTACTTAAATGCTTTTTTTTTTTATCCTATTTTATTCTCCTTGCCCTCCTTTCCCGTTGATTTCATCTCTCGAAAATTTCTCCCAGAAATGTACTCCTTTTCCTTTTCTTTTTTCGATGCTTCGATTTGTCAAAGGTATTAATTGTAAAAGCGATAACGTCCTCGCTCTTCCTTTTGCGCATGATAAACGACATCGATATGACTTGCTCACGAATGCCGCACGTTTCACGAAAAAACGTGCTTATTTTATCTGTTTTCATATAGATTCGTACAAATGAACATTCCGGGGAATAGCGGGTTAAAGGGTTAAGCGGAAATAAAGGGGAAAGAGATGGCAGAGGAAGGAAATTAGGCGGATAAAGAGAGAGAGAGAGAGAGAGAGAGAGAGAAAGAGGAGAGAGAGACGAAGAGAAAAGAAGGGCGGACACGAGAAGCGCATCAAAACTTTCATTTTTCCACGCGTTATCCAATTATCTCGAGTATTCACGTAGTACTCGTAACGTCCTTAATTATTCGTCCCGGAAGAGGAGTATCCTGTCATCGTTCCGTGAAAAATTTCTACCGACGAGCCAATGCAATGCGACTGACGTCGTAAAATATTATCAAATATATATACGTATTATATATATACACGTTTACCGTGAGCGATTTCAACAATTCTTCGGACATTTTCCTAAAGAGCGTATTTAATTTGGTATGTATGTATATAGGGGGAACACGTTAAGGGAAGTCGCGCGTGTGCGATAACATTACTTTAAAAGAATAACGAGCATATGGCGTGAGCGAATTCACGGTGAAAAATGATTTAACTAACGCATCGCGATAAGTGTAGCAGCTCGTAATGCCAGGGAAAAATTGGTCGGATCGTTTAGCGATATTATAAAATAATAACGGGCCACCGTTCATCGTTCCTCGTTACAAGGCGAATTTGTCGTTCAAAGATAAATGTTCGCAAGGAGAGCACGCTTCGCACAACTAAGTCTCTCCCTTAGTTTCTCTCTGTCCACCATCAAAATTCCGCTCGTACGAACGTACATATATGGAACAGTAAAAATATAGGAAAACGTTTCCGGCATTCACAGCTATGTTACCAATCGAGAGAAGACGTTTTTCTCCTGCGAGCGAAAGAATTTTCAACGAGTTGGGAAAGAAAGATAGAGAGAGATAGAGAGAGAGAGAGAGAGAGAGAGAGAGAGGAAAAAAGAGAAGAAATTGCAAGTAGATTCCACTCCGACGGCAGAGACGAGACAGGAAGCAGTCTGATGCACTTCTTGCAGCTGCGCACGACGTTTACGCTCCTATTCCGGAAAACGTTTTTCTTTTTTACCCTTACCTTTCTTTCTCTCTCTCTCTCTCTCTCCATCTTGTAACTTCACCTACGTACACGCACTCGAGAAACCCTCGAAATAAATGTCGCGTTTCGAGCGTGTTTGAAAGAACGTTTACGCAGCCCCGGGAAAACGATAAAGCGCAACGTTGTGGGAATATCTTATTTTCTTATCGTGAAGATAAAGACGAGTGGACCGCGCGCGTTCAGAGGACCAACTCTATTTATTTATTTATTTTCTCTTTTAATATAAGATACTTCCAACGGAGTTGTTTTTTCTATTTTTGACACACATTTCAAATATAGAAATAGACAAATTTTGGATAAGAATGATATATTACCACTCGTACCTCGAAGTATTCCGAATTTTTTTTTCGTAATGGTGTACGTCTTCGTTCCGATAAAGTGTCTTTTTTTAAATATAAATTATCGAACTTTTTGTAAATCATCCTTAGCTACCAAAGCGTAAGGCGTTAGAGAATTCTTCTCGCGAAGAGAAGGCAATTAACGAACAAGCTCAAGAGACGAGAAGTTTTGCTCGTCGTTCGATATACAAAGCATGAAAACACTGGGACAAGCTGCAAGTCCAAGATCGGAAGAGTGTAGTTCGCAAAGTGTAATGAGGAAAATCACGAAACAAATAAGTTTGAAGAAGTTTGGTAACCTTGACCCCGTATTATGTCGGCTAATGGTATATTTGAAAAGCTTGCGTAAAATTTCCCTTCTTAGTATCGCGTATCGTATCGATAACACATTGATAACGCATAGGCAAGTAGATATTATAAAGTAGATTCGAAAAAATGAACGACTAGGAACGACGAATGAAGCTAATTAATGTTGCAATTAATATAGATCAAAGATCTCTCTCGACTGTATCTTTCCTTCTCTTCCTTTTTTCTTTCTTCTTTGATCGTAAAACACGTAAAAGCGAGCTAAGTAAAATAAAAAAATTTACCAAACTTCTACGTACGTAACTCTAAGAAAGATTTCATGAGAGGAAAAAAGCAAGGGTGTGCGATAAATCTTAGATGGCGGAAGGAAAATGGTGTAAGTTGTATAGAAGAGCAAACCGTCTGATCACCGAGGAGAAAAGTTATGCAATTTAGCAAACGTTGGCACGAGACCATCGTCCCTCCTTTTTCGCCTCCAGCACCGACTCAATCCTCCTATTTTCCCGCATCTTCAGAGGGTTTTCTTCGGCTGAGAATTCTAGGTCGAAGGGCAAACGGTATCGTTCGATAAAGGTTAATTTGTTCGGATGAAGGATCGAAAATATCCCGGATAGGATGAGGACGAAAGCGTAGCAGTCTTCTTTGAAAATTGAAAGTGTTTCTCCTCTCATTATTCAATTTTCTCGATATAAAGTTTAACTTACTATTTTATCGCATCTTTGAGGCACATCGCAGCCTCCACTCGTTGATCCCTCTCCTTTACCATCTTCGACGACCGACGCTGCTAATTAATTTTGTATCGTGTTTTAGCGGTAGAAGCGAAAACTCGAATTTTCCAATTTTCAAAGAAAAGCCACGAGCTCAACATCGCGCGGAGAAGTTGGCTGATTTTATCGGAGGTTAAGCCTTTGCAAAGTTATTCGATACGCCAACCATATTGAACTAGCTCTTTTATTGAGTCAACAAGGAACCGATTGAATAATCGATGGCTTCAACAAAATTAGATGAAAAATTTGATAAGATGAAACCCTATCGCGAATCTTTATCACATATATTTTAACAAGACAAACTAAGATTTTTTTCCAGGAAAAAATGGATGCAAGCATAAAAGATACGAATTCAGCGAGAAAATGTGGAACCTTTGCGCAAGAATTAGCATTTTCGGCGGAAATTTTCTCAAACGAAGTCGATTCTTCGACGAGACGTTGCAAAGGATGCAAATATCTAAAGAATCTGAGAGAAAAATGAGAAAAAAGAAAGTCGTTCGTTCGTTCGCAAGTTCGTCTGAAAAGTGTAAAGTAGGTACTCCGTGCAGAGGAATCGTCGAGCAAGATAAAGTTAACACTATAAGAACCCGTCAAATTGGACCCAAGAGATACGTCTCCGCAGAAGAGGATGCGCGCGGAAATGAGAATCGTAAGGAACATGAAAGTTTGAAAAAGCATCGTGGAAGAAGCATCACCGTTCTCTTTATCGTCATTTTCTCTTTGTAAGTATTATCAAAGATTCGTCACATGGAAAATATTCGACTTTTCGTCGTACAAGAAACGAGTAAACTTTTAATTTTACATAAAACGTTCGCAAGAAGGCTCTCGAACGAAGTACGTATAATTTATATTAATATAAAATCAGTGAATATCAAAAAGAAGTGACATATTTAATAATTATTGTCCGAGCAATAGCAAAAACGAAAGATTTTTATTTCCGCCTTTCTTTGGAAAGAGTAATCGTTATCGGTGGTATCGTTATGCTTGCGATGTCCATATTAAAGTTCGCAGACACGTTGAGAACAAAAAATAAAAAAAAAAGATAAATAAGCTTATAGAATGATCGAGTAAATGGCAGCTTGCGATGATACGTGCATAATATTCTCTTCTACTTATGTAGAAGTATGTACGTCGAGTGCAATATGCGTCGACACTCGATATAATAACGTTCATAAATACGTTTTATCACGCTACCTTATACCAATTTTGTTTTATATCGAAGCGCGTGATCGCATAATGCATCCGTCCGTTTTCTCTCGTAATTCATCTCGATCGTCGATGCGTCAAACTATTATTCTAAAGATATTTATCGATTAAAATTAAATTCTGAAATTTGACTCGTTATTGAAGAAAGAGCTACGACGAAAGGAAATATCGTAAAGGTAAAGAAGAATATATAGGTTTACTTGGAGCAAAGTTCAAACGCGTTGACTCGCTAAAATTATTTATAAACAAATGTCTCAGGTAAACTCGAGAAAACGCGAATACATCGCTGCCGAGCTAGTAATTAACCGCACACAGTATATAATAATATTACGATCTGCCGTCGAGTAAGAGCATATCTATTTTATCTATTCATTTTTTTGTTAGCGATAAGGAAATACTCGAGAACCTTGCTCGTAACGAGGCAAGTATTAGAAAAGCGACGTCGTTTGTACCAGCCGGTTATCTCATTCGGAATTTGGGCGAGCGTAAAAGCTAAAAACGAATCAAAAGTTTGAAATAAAAAGAAAATAGCTGAAGGATATAGGATCGGTAGTAGAAAATTGCTAAGACTGGCTGCGAATAAACAAAGATAGAAAATAGATGGAATCTGAGAATGTAAGCGTTAAAGAGTGCCGGAGCATCGAAGAGTAGAAGAAGAGTAGAAGAAGAGTAGAAGAAGAGGAAGAAAGAAAAGAAGTTGGGAGGAAAGAGGGATTGGTTCGAGGGTAGTAGTAGAGAAGGTGCGAGGAACGCCACGGGGAAGGAGATGAGAAGGAATCGGAGAAGAAGAAGAAGACGAAGAAGAAGATGGTGGGGGGATTGGTGGAGAGGGCGGGGGGAGGAGGCTGAGTGATCGGCGGAGTAAAGAGAGTGAGGACGCCTGCGCGGAATCCCCGGGCGGGCGCGGGCAGTGCCACCGGAGGCCCGGCGGTTTCAGAGCTTCGCCCGGGACGACGAACCGCAGACGACCTGTACGCAAAACTCGGCCGTGCGTTATCCGGAGGCTACGCTGCCCTCCGAAAGTGTCACTAGAATATAATCCAGGAGGACAAACAAAAATAGAAAAGGCTTCCTTAGAGAGATCTTCATTTACGTACTGTCATTTACCTACTGTCATTTACATACTGTCATTTACGTACTGTCATTTACGTACGACAAACGATACTTTCATTTTCTCGCGTCGATTATTAACAACGGCAACGGCAACAACTAATCTTCCTTACCCTACATAACATAATATGTGATATAGTGTCGTTGTAAAGGTGCTAACCGAATAAACTACAGACTTTTACGAGTTGGGAAAAGGAGGGAGGGGGAGAGAAAGAATATTGCGAGGTGTCGCTGCTTGTGGAGGTGTGTAGTGGGAAGAGGAAAAGGTGGAAGAAAGACATGAACGACGTCTGGTAGCGACACCGACTGCGGAGGAAGAACTCGATGAGATGACGAAGGATTAGGAGAAACCGAGAGAAAGATAGAGCCATTGAACGCGCGCGCGACCAATAAAGAAGGAAAGAGAGCAAGAGAGAGAGAGAGAGAGAGAGCGATACAAATAGGAGGCTGGAGAGTGGCGTGGTGCACCAGGACGGTGTGGTGCGCGCTGTGAGATGTCAGTTGACCATCGGTTGAAGACATCCACGTTGTCGTCGTCGTCGTCGCCGTCATCGTCGTCGTCGTCGTCTTCGTCGTTGTCGTCGTCATCATGAGGAGATCCTCTTACGTCAACTATTACGTCCTGTGCCTCGTCTGTTGGATTCTTTTGGGTATTACCGGTAAGATTAGAGAGAAAAAAAACAAAGAATCGTAAAAGAGGGCTGTGGACATATGGGTGAGGATGAGTCAAACAAGGATGACCCCGTTCCATCGTAAATCATGCGAACGCAAAGAGGACAAAACACTACGATCTTTGGATTTATGTGACCAAGGTAGAAAAGAGGGAGAGAGAGAGAGAGAGAGAGAGAGAGAGAGAGAAAGAGAGAGAGAGAGAAAGAGAGGGATGGGGTGGGAAGGGGGGAGAGGGTGAAGTCGGTGCTCGGGTGGTGGATCGATCGGATTTTCGGGTGTAGCTGTGTTGTTGTCTCTGTCCGCGTCGCGTGCATACGTTCTCGTGCTCTTCTCACACGCGTGTCTATTTTTGATCCTTCAGTCACGACCGTTGCGCTTCATTTATCTCCGATCTCTTTGTTCTTCGCCTCGGTTTCGTTTCAAGTGCTACTTCAGACAACGAGATTCTCCTGGCAGTTGCGATCGATGATCCTTTTCAAAACTAAAGGAAGAAAAGGAGTATCGGGAAATATCGAAAAGACCAGGAGAGAGAACTAGGGACGAGAGAACGCGAGGAAGCTTGGCCCCGGACCAGGTTCACAATTGTATCTAGCGCCACCCTTGTTTGTCGCGCCGCGGCATTGTAAGCCGCCCTCCTCCTCCTGCCCCTCTTCTTCGCGCCCACCCTTACACTCTCTAGCTTTCCTTTTCTCTTCCTTCTTATTTTCCACTTCTTCCACTTCTTTTTCTCCGCGATCCGTCCTCCATTTCTCCCTTTCTCTCTCTCCCTCTCTCTCCCTCTCATTCTCTCGTCTCCCGTCGGGTCACCGTGTCGACGAGATGATTCCATCGTCGGGGGCGGAGAGCGAGGGAGACTCCTTTTTTCTCTATCTCGTGACGTCGTTCACGAGCGCGTATATCGATTCCAGCACGTTCTCGCTGCATTAAACCCGATACAGCTGGATTTATCAGTTATTTTTCGACCTCGCGACCCATCATGGCTTTTCACTTCAATCTTTAAAAATCAATCCGGATATTATTTTTCCATCTCGTTCGATGCAATTTATAAGTATATACGCCTTTACTCTCAACTCTCTCAAAAACGCGAACTTTCGACGGAAATCGATGTCTTTGACCTTATCGCTTTTTTCAATAATAGTAATAATAATAATTGTACAAAAAATGTCTATATATCTATCCATTCGTCCTTGGCTGCATCGATCGCGATGCAGTCGGACTCGGGGATTTTCTTTTTTGACGCGTATTTCGATATTGTGATACATCGCTATGACACTCGTGTCATCTAAAGATTACACAAAGATTCTTGCACTTTTATGCACGCTCGGTCCAACATCGAGGAAAGTCTTTTTAATTAAACAACCCTGCTCGATGCTTTCGTACTTGTACGATAACAATGTTCTTGTTTTTTTTTCTTTTTATCTTTTTATTATTATACAATATCGAATGGTTCGTCGGTCGATCTTTCGATGTCGTTCAATCTTATATACGATTAACGATGATTCAGGATACTCGGTTATTCCGGACGGCGGAAATACGCGTCAATGGAACTGACACAGTGATTTTTCAATTCTGATCTACAATAGAGTGTATGCTTGGAAGAGTTTCATTCTTCCGCATATAATAGATAGGAAGCGATTTGAGTAGAAAAGATCTATTCATTGAGTCAACTCGGAAGTATCCGATAGCCACATTTCTTTTCTGACTTAGAATTTATTTCGAGATATAAATTATCATTATTAGATCCATATCGTACGAGTACATTGTAAACGATTGAACTAACTCTTCAAATCGAATAATCTTATGTTAGTGATTCTAATTCGTGTATCCATTTTGTTTCTCTAGAGAATACTTAACAACATTTGCAAACCGAGTTTGTTTTCCACGATAATGATAATATAGAATAACAAGAAACCCTAATTAGAGTGATCGAATGATTCTCGATAAAGGTCATTTCGTAAAGTCTTTAACATATTCGAATTACGTATTCAAAAGCAATTCGATCCACTTGAGAGGATTATTCTATCATCGAGTTAATGGAATAAAACGAGTTCGAGCAGCGGCACGATGCGCCGCAACAGCCGATTATGCTTCACGGTGATTAGCCGAGCGAGCTTTTCCTCCGAGCTTTGGTGCGCGCGCGTACCCTCGCCTCTCTTTTCCATCCTCCTCTTTTCCCTCTCGCCCTCGCGCCCCTTCATTACCTTTCCTGTCCCTTTCTACATTCTGCTAAGCCTTCGATGCTGTCGTGGTAACGACGTATGCCTGCCTGACTCTATGAAAAATCAGTTCGAAGAACGTGCCGACCGGAGGACTCGCGTGTTCGCTGGCTCCTTATCGCGCGAACCCTCATGCTAATTCCAGGAATACGAAATCCCTTTCGAGAATATGCCGGATCAGCGCGGCGCACACCTTCCTTTATTTCCTTTTCTCGTCCGATGGAAAAATTCCATTTTTCATTCGGAACTAAGATCCCACCGGTGCGATTGCTCGGCGTAACGAAGAAAAGCTTAACACGGTGGCGACGTATCAACGTTTATTACCTATGGCCTGTATGATCGCGTTAAATTGATAAATGATCCGTGACTTACTGCAACGCGTTGCTTCGTGACGAGGGTACACCGGCACTACCTTCCTCCTCCTTCATCCCTCCCATCGCTCGTTCGAGTTTTTCCTTATTTTGCGACTTTTTATCGATTCGAAACTATCTACCGAGATAAAGAGTAAATAAGTCAGGGTAGACAAATTGTTCTCCTCTTGATTCGCGTTAGATAACATAGAAAAAGTTACGTCAAATATTTCGCAGAAACTAAAAGTACCTAAGTACTTTTGTTCCTGTGTTTAGATCCCAAGAATATTGTTGGTGTACGGAGTTAGAAAGAGAAAAAGGATCGTCGCAAAGAAACGATAACATAAATCGGGAATCAACGCGATTCGAGGAAACTATCCGAAATCTAGATTTATGTAGCGGCTTCGAGTTACGTGACAACGTCGTAAAGTTGCACGAGCAACGTGCGTATGTGTCATTCTAATAAAGCGAAAAGGAGGACGCAACCTCTCGGTGACCCAAGTCGACTTTCTACGACCCGACTCGACTCATCGTCTCCAGGGAAATATACGTTACAACGAATCTTCCTTTCCTTTCTTTTACACAATCCACTACTATGCCCTATTTCGTACTCGATTTCTCCCTCATGGATCTGATTGGGGGGAGAAAAAAAGGAATGCTTTTATGCGAATCCTCTTTTTTCGACATATTAACGTAATGATGACAAATCATGAGCGACTTTGATTTCCTGAATGATGAGAATGAAGGAAAGCTAAGTCGCCGCTATCTTCCCGCTGGAAAATTAGTTTCGAATCGTCCTTTTCTCTCCTACCCTCTATCATCTTTTTCTAGTGTCCCCTTCGTCTGGAAAGGGAGGAGGACCGATTTCTCTCCCCTCGCTGGTAGCACATTTCTTCCTCAGGGTCCCTCGTTCGGAGCATTTACGACAATCTTGACGAGAGAAAAAGAGAGAGAGAGAGAGAGAGAGAGAGAGAGAGAAAGAGAGAGTCATGCCTCGGAGGGCTGAAATGAAAAATGTGTCTCAGTAAGTAACGGTGTGTATATAGGACCGCTATTTGTGTGTGGCCCCTTTTTTCTTGCGGATAGGCAAATTATTTCGATGGGGTGGCAGCAAAAGAGAAAAAAAAAGAGAGAAAGAGAGAAGAGAATCACGAAGAGGCGCGTGCGCGCCTCTGCGTAGATTTTACATCCCTCAGGATCTTTTGTACCGAATCGAGTATTCTGCAAAGCAGCTGTCTCCTCCGCGTTCGATGCGCATATCCCTGGTATATTTCTACGTCACCCTCCAAAGATTTTTACTCGATGACAAAAACGCATTAAGAAATACTATTAAAACGTGTTTTAGTTTTTATTACGATCAAAATTAATACGTGTTTATTATAGTAACTATCTCGCGTTTATCGAAATGCAATATAACGTTAATAATAATAATTTACAGTAGAAGAGTATGCACTCGTAGTTTTCAACTCGTGGTAAAATGTCGAAGGATAAAAAAAAAATCTGATAATCGATTAATTGGTGGTTAATGGTGTCCTTCGTAGGAATCGATGCGTTCGGTAATCGGTTACCCTGAGAGATTTTTTTCTACTTTCGAATAGTCGGACGCGATTGTCATCGACGTACACCCTGATGTATTTACCTTTTTTTTTTTTTTTCATCGTCTTATACCCTTACCCCTTTCCTTCTCCCCCATCGATCCATTCTTGAGGCTTTCCACGAGAAATTACGCGTATTTGTGTCAAGCATTTACGTCGTCACACACGGACCATCTAGGATCGGCCCTTTCGAGCAGGCTGCCTCGTCCGCTCCGGAAGAATAATGACGCCCAATCATATCGGTAGACTTTCCTCCGCGCTGCCACCGATGCGCACACAAAGACCCAACTTTCGACTACTCGCTACGCTAACGAGACCCAGTTCCGAGTATTCCAGCAAACTGGATCGTTATCGTTCCCATTTTTTTCTCCTTCTCTCGTCCTCTTTTTATTCAGAAAACTTCGATAGGTCGATTGGATATTAAACGCTACGCGAAACTAAAAGTGGAATTCGTCGATATTTTTACTTTTATTTTAACCATGTTCCGTTTTTATCGTAAAATGCAAAATTGGAGCAAAAATATAACGTACCATGTTATAGTCATCTTCGTAATAGCCATCTCGGATAGCGTTGAAAAATGTCGATAAGAGCCTATGCACATCGTAGGATGTACTTGGGCATGATATAGGAGTAAAATAATCGTAAATCGATCTCGTCTATCGAGAGGAAGGAAGGAAGGAAGGAAGGAAGTTATATAGGAAATGATATGATAGTGCGTGCCTTGCTCATGCTACAACTATATCAGAAAACAAGATATTCAAGGTCGTTGGAACGAAGCCCATGCGATTCCTCGAGGCGAAGGCTGCTGATCTGCCTTTGAGTTCCTCGGATCAAGATCCCCTGGATTAGTATCAATTTCCCTAAGGTAGCTGAACGGCTTGCTAGGATCCTAATAGGATTTATTTCGCAAAGTATTCTTACCTGAGTTACGCTTAGACGATGGAAACGCGAGACTGCTCTTTCTCTCTCCCTCTCTTACTTTCCCATTTGAAAGGTGAGGCGTGCAAGAACATCGAGAAACGCAAAAGAAAGATCCCCGGTAAAAGATGCTAGGACGCGCTCGCGCAAAAGTCATTTGAATATGAGGAAAAATGATTTAGGCTTTATATACTGCACTTTTTATTCGAAGAAACGTACCCTCGGGCAGAGGACAAACCCTTTATATTTTTGTTCCCTCGGAAAGGATAACAAAGGAAGCCGTAATTCTAGCTTTGTTCTTTTTAATCCCTTCCTAATGCAGAGATCGTAGCGTGTTCCAGTTAATGGCGATGAAGGTGGCTACGTCGACACGTAGCACAGACATTTTCGTGTATACTTTTAAACACGTATACACGTCGTCAGCCTGCTGTTCTACCCTCGTTGCGCTTCATATAATTATAGTCGAAGCTTTCGCGCTCTTTGTTCCAACGACGAATCATCAAGAGCCCTTTGCGTTCGCGTTATTATACTGTGGTCAGGTTACCTTTTCGTATCTCTCCTTTGCGGTTTTTGTCGGCTAGCTGGCGCGTTAACTGCTCACAGTCTTGCCAAAGAGAAGTCGATTCGAAATGAATCCATACAAGGGTCTGTCTACTTAAAGGGAAAGACGTAAACGACGTCAAAGTAGACGTGGGTTATTTACACGTACACACATACGTTCTACCCATTTACGTCTCGGTTTAGAGATCTAGTCTAACATAAATTTTACTAATGAGAAAATCGATATTCAATGTTTCAGGTGTGAGCACCAGATCGCATTCCTTGGTGAAGAGGTTCGACGGGATTTACACGGGTCCGTATTTCGACTCTAACTCACCGACGAACATAACGGCGCAACTAGGTACTCATGCGTACCTACCGTGCAAAGTACGACAGCTCGGTAACAAATCGGTAGGTCGACGTTCACTATTTTCATTTCCTTCTTTTCTTCTTTCTTTCTTTTAACCTTGACTTCCCTCCGACTCTAGCGTCATTTGCGTCGTCTCGAAACGGCTTCGTGTGCTCGTTGAGAGTCTACCACTTATCGATCCATTTTCAACCTTCGAACGACCACCGATCTTTTTCTCGCTCGTCAGCTTCGAGCACACGCGGAACGTCGCACGAAAGCTTTTCCCTTGAGACTCCTTATCGAAAATTCCTCTGGAAACTTGCATGTACTTGCTGTACGTGCGCGTTCGTACGCCGAAATCTTTCCCTTTTTCTAGAATTTTTTTAATTCTAAAAAGATTTTTTTCTTATGAATATGCGAACGACGATTACACGCTTTTTTCTTTTCCTTTTTCTTTCTTTTCTTTCAAGGTGTAACAACGTGGAATAGTAACGAACCAACGGGAATCATTTTTTTCTTTTTCCTGTGGATTCTTATCGCGCGTAAACATGCGACACGCAACGACGACTCAAAAAGCTTCGACCTTGCTTTGATTTTTCGCGATGTTCAAAGCTAAAAATACTCTCTTCAGCTCACGCTACTGGCCGACTTAAAGGCCAACTTAAAGGTCACAAGTAGTCTACAATGTGACAAAGCTTGACGATGTAACGTTCCACGCCTAAACGAGTAATACTTTTATATATTATATAAATTTCGAACGATTGTCACGGAAGCGATTAACTGGGTTCGTAACCTCGTATCATATTTTAAAATAAAAGTAAGGACAAAGTATCGCTAAAACGTCATCAGAGGAATGGAGTTCGAAAGGAAGTTTCGCGTATCCTCGATCGAACGAGTAGAAAATGAAAATATAATATCTTAGTAGGAAATTGACGATCCTACTCTCCCTTTCTTTGTTCATTGAGCCAAATATTTGTCGAGTTGATGATACAATTATTTTTGAAGATAAAATGCAGTATAGAGGAAGACGACAACGGAACGGGGGTTGAAAGACGATAAAAGTTTATCGCGTCGAGAATAGAACGTCGCGTTGCTTCTCCCGTATCTCTCGTGAGAAAACTTTAGATTTGCTAGGTTCGTTGTGAAAAGTAGGAAAAGAAAGAAAGAAAAAGAGTACTGTACAACGACGACAAAGCGTACGACGACAAAGCGTACGACGACACGCGACTTTCGTATAATCGTCTTGGAAAACCTACTCAAAGGGATTTAAGGACCTTTCCGCGATACTAACGGATATGCTTATCGGTCGAGAAATTAAATGCTTCTTCCCTTTGTGCTTTCTATACATATAGGTAGCCGTTATTTAAGTATGTATGTATGTACGACGGGTCCGAGTTATCGTAGTACGTGGACTCGCTTAAATATCCGGTCGATGGACGATACATTAAGATATGGAAAGGCTCGAAGAGGGTTCAGAGAGAAAGATCGATCGCGGTCACCTAACGACGAGCTTTCCTTCTTATCCCCTCCCTCCCTCTCCCCCGCTTATATTTATACGCTACCTTCTCTTCCCCATGCTTTCTCGTACCACCTCTTCGGAATAAATATATGAGCCAAGAGGTTACCGGGATGATTTGTGATCGTGACTGGCGAAGCGGAAACTTCCTTCGTTTCGACGAATTTCCTTTCTACTGCTCGAACAGAGTATTTCCTGACGGGGTAGAAAACGGGGTAGAAAACGGGGACGATAATAACGAGTCTTGTCTTATTTTAATCGAGCCACGAGTTTATCTTTGAAATTTTATTTATCTATGATAGGGAAAAAAGCGATTATTTTCTACACCGTTCCGCAAGAAATTGATCTTCTTATATTTTTTTTTATTCGATTTTATCTGTAGATAGATATAAAAATACAGGGATGATATATAATAGAATAATTAATAATGGATAAATTAATAAGGTCTCGTGGATCAGGAGAAGAGACTCGCACATACTCTCCGTGGATAGGACCATGTTCATCCCCGACGAAAGGTTCCAGGCGATCTTCGCGGACGCGTCGGACACTTGGACGTTGCAGGTGAAGTACGTCCAGGCACGGGACGAAGGGGAGTACGAGTGCCAAATCTCGACGGATCCGAAGAAGAGTCACATTATCAAGCTCAACATCGTCGGTGAGCCTTGCCAAGAGGGAACCCTCTTAGAAAGAGCCGCACCTCTTGTTTTTTTCTTATTCCTTTAAAGCGCGATTTTTTGTTTTCTCTTACGAGCGAGTTTAATGATTAAGCGAACGAAAGTAAAGCGTTCGCTTAGCGACGGTACACTTTCGCTTTTGCTCACTTTCGTTGGATGAAAAGTTTGCCGAGTCGATTGGTTGGTTAGACGAACGTTAAACTTTTGAACTCTCGAGAATAACTCGCGATAACGATCATAAATTAAAATAGAAAATGAAAAAATTGTGATATAACTGGGTTAATGGGGAGGAGGTTGAAATACGTTCGGTGCCTTCTTGTAATTTTAGTGCCAAAGATTGAGATCCTCGGAGACCGGGACATGTACGTAAAAACTGGAAGCACGGTCTCAATACGTTGCATGATAAAACAATCTCTCGAGGGGCCGTTCTACGTCTTCTGGTATCACGAAGGCGATCGCGTTCTCAATTATCAGCTGGGAAAAATCGATATCCAGACTAAGAGGATCGATCACGATACGGTTAGCAGTCTCGTGATCCACAACGCCAGGCGGGAGGACTCTGGAAATTATACCTGCAGTCCGAGTAATTTGGATAGTGCCAGCGTGCAACTTCATGTTTTGAACGGTAAGTCGAGAGGAAGACACTCGTTCTATCTTCTTGCTTCTCTCTTAGAAGAAATTTTACCAAGTACAAGTGTTTACTTTCAGGAGAACATCCTGCCGCGATCCAAAGAGGAATCAGCTCGGCTTGTGGCGGTTGTCATACACTTTGGTGGTTTGCAGGAGTGGTAACGCTCTATTCGAGTCACGGAAGTCGGCACTACGTCCTTGTTCTTCTGGCCGTCATGGTCCTTTACTCGAAAAATCCATCTTACTTCACGCCGGAACGATAATCAGGATCATCGGGAAGGACCAAGCACGAACGAGAGCGAGCGAGCGAGCGAGCTAGCGAGCGTGCGCACGAGAATCGATTATCTTCGGCCATGAAACGCTGTGAAACTTCTCTAAACGGGATTTCTCAAGAAAAGAAGGAAAGAAAGAGAAAGGAACAAACATTTCCATCGATCATTCGATATCATGAAGAAGAAGAAGAAGAAGAAGCTTGAAAAGCGTTAAAGCTAGAATATCGTGATAAGAATTCAAAGGAAAGAGCAGGGTCGAGGGAGAATCGAGAACTTCTGTATGGACGCGTGAAAGAAAGAGAGAGAGAGAGAGAGAGAGAGAGAGAAAGAAAAGAATAGGACGAGAGTCGACGAGCTCTCGAAGAAAAACGATCATCGTTTCTAAATCGTCGCTGAAGACTGACCGCTCACTTTATTTTGCAAGCGAGCCGAAAGGATAATCGGAGAGTAGGAGATAGTAATAATTGTTGATCGTTCGTTCGAGTGACGGATTCGTTCGGAGAATAATGGTCTAATAGAAAAAAAAAAGACAAAAAAGATAAAGAAATGGGAAAAATACAATAAACAATCTTGGTATCTTGATATTGCATATTTGAAGCACAGTCTTATCAATCGTTTATCAGCAATATCAAGATCCAAAATTCTTCCCGCGGGATGAAATTCTAAAATTATTAGAGATGCATTTCGTCTATCGAGACAGTATGATCCGGCCGTTAGTATCTTAGGAATTAGATAACTCGTGACGATTTTTCGTTGGATTCGCGCGAGTTTTCCTGGCAGGTCGTCACCTCTCACGACCTTGCCAACTTGTATACAAGGACGTATTACGCGAGGATCGTGACTCATTTCGTTATTTTAATAAACAACGGAACGGAGAACGTACAGAACCACCATCTATTTTAAAAGGAAACGAAAATGAATAAAAAAAAAATCAAAAATTGGCAACGAAAAATTATATATTTGTGAAGCGAGCCGATAAGCACAACGATCGTTATTTTCTTTGCTTTAGACACTATCTTTATCACGATCTTCTCGTTTTCGTGCTCCCATCTTTATAGAGAAAGTTTAAAGAAATAAAAATAAAAAAAGTAAAGTATAAAGATCTCGATAACGAGATGCCCCCCGATAATCGATGATCGCGCGTCACTAGAACGATCGTGGAAGTCCTGTCGAGGTTATTGAAGGGTATCGTAATTTCTGTTCATTACCGACTAGATGAAGTTACCGAGTCGGTGGTAGTTAATTATGGAAGGATCACGAGAAAGAGTGCGAAAGAATGAAAGAAAATGAGAGCGAGAGAGAGAGAGAGAGAGTTAGATAGAGAATGAATTGAGGTAAAAAAAACTTCGTCCGCGCCACTCGAAAGAATTGAAACTTGTTCGATGAAACTTATGAAGATGATGCGATTAATTATATTTCCATAACAATCGATTAGCGAAGCGTGTCTATACTCGACGTCCATACCGTTTTCATTCCAGGATCGTAACGAGAGATCGTACCGCCCCCTTGTGCTCGATTTTCTTTTTTCATTTCTTTTTTTTTATCCGTATGTATAATCGAACCGAGGAAATCCTTCCTTCATCTTCGATGATGGATTAGACCTAACGCCAAAAACACCGCGAGATCATTTTTTTTTTTATGCGAGAGAGAAAATCGATTTATCTATACGAAGACGACAAGCTCCTCCAATTAACCAAAAAGAAAAGTGTTCATATCAAATGTCGATGTCGACCCTCCATATCAGATCTTCCTCCGAGATCGTCTTCGTGATCTACGTTCGAAAGTTCGCGACGTTTAATTAAAGACATTTCGATAATTAAATCTTTCTCGTTAGAAAAAGAAAAAGAAAAAAAAGTTTCTTTTGAAAAAGAATCGCATTAAATTATTTTTTTGTCATCCTCGGTCGATTCAATTTGTTGGGAGAACATTAGCGTGCGAGGCAAAAGATAAAAAAAGCAAAAGAAATGAAATACGATCCTCTCGTATCGATCCACGAGAATGTTATAGTCGGTAAAAAAGCGCATTGAGTATAAACACGAAACATCGAAGCGTGCCGTGTAACCGTGCGTGCGTGGGTGCGTGCGTGCGTGCGTACGTACGTACGAGCGACTCGTAATATAAAAAATATCAAATCTCTCGTTATTCGTCTTGTTTTAGAAAATTTTATTATTTAACCACCGAATACGTTCGTTGATAGAATGAGAAGAGAAAAAAAAATGGTTTTCATTCACGATCAGCACGGACGGTTACACGCAATGACAAGGACGGATATACAGCTTTTTGAGAAGGGCTCTCTTTCTATCGATTTGAGCCCTTTCGTGAGTTTGCTTTAATTCTCGCGAGTATTAGAGAAAAAAAAAAGAGTAATGTTTTTTATAATATTATATAAATAAATGAATATATATATATAGGTATATATATACAAACGGAGCAGATTAATATATATATGTATATGTATATGTATATGTGTACGCGCGCAGATACGTTGCACAATGGTGTTGAGTATTGAACAAGTTTCAGCTCGTCGAGTAAACGAGAGGCGACATCCAACGGAAAGTTACGATCCCTTCGACGGAGAAAGGGCATCGTCGTGAAAGTGTCACGAAAAGATCGTACGGTGTCGGCTGATGTATTTAGTAGCACGTAATGAAAGAAAAAGCGATGAAATATAATATATCTAGTATGAGAAAGTAAAAGAAAGAAAGAAAGAGAGAGAGAGAGAGAGAGAAAGAGAGAGAGAGAGAGAGAGAGAGAGAGAGAAGAAGAGAAATAGTAAGAAAAAGACGAACGACACGTTTAGAATATCTACGATTCATGTGATTGTAAATACATAGTACATAAATAACGTAACGTTAACTAACGATATGCCGTACGTGTTACACTAAAGAAACAAAAAAAGATAAATAACGTTACTGTGTAATTTTTCGGATCGTAAACGCATTGGAATGGGTCTGGCCGCCTGTGCTAACCGGTTTGATGTAATCGCATAAAAGAAAGGGAAGATAACAATATAAGAGTGAAAGAGAGAGAGAGAGAGAGAGAAATTTCCCGTAAAAACAATAGCGATCTAATCCCTTCCTAAAATCGCAAAACAATAGTAAAACTCATGAGAATTTGGAGTCCATTCTCGTGAATTTTCTTTTCTTCCACAAATCGCACTCAGTGCGGGTAATCGATCTCTCGGTGATGATGCGTAATTACTCGCAAAAATGAGACAAGAAAATTGGCTCCGTGCGCGTGGTTGCGAAAGAGGGAGAGAGAGAGGGAGAGAAATAGAAAGAAAGGGCAAGAACGATAGGGATGCGTTTATCCTCAATCGGATAAAAAGGGTCCGAGGATAGCACGGGCCGGCCACACGCGACTAGATGTAACACTAATTAACGCCTAGCGTAAGATTTAAACGGATATAAATGAAGATATATTGTCTGATATAATAAAAAGTGCACGTGCGCGAGTGCCTCTGCGAGTGTGTGTAAGTACTTGCGTGCTTGGATGATGAATGTTTTGCGTTGGGAGGAATAAAAAGGAAACAAAAAAAAAACAGGAAAACGTGTGAGGAGAATGAGCGTGCGTTCGTTGAATGTGTAAACGAGCGGTTAAAAGATAGAAAAGGAGAGAGTTAGAGAGGAAGCGACAGAGAAGGGTGGATAGAGAGAGGTTGAGGGCGTGGTGGAGGAGGAGGAGGAAAGGAGGGTGGGAGGGAGGTAAAAGTTCGTTGGACTACGCGACAAGGCGTTGGTCGAATGACGCATTTTCGAATAAAAAGGGGCGACTAGGGACGACTTCTTGTATCTTGTTTTCCTTCTTCCCGCGCCTCGCGAGGCCACTCTTCGTCGACTTTGGTGATAAAAGAAGTAAAGAGGAGGGAGGTGATGGCAACAGTAACGGCACCTCGAGGCCACAATTAAAACACGCGAGCTTCGTTTCACGTTTTTCACTCAGCCTCCCCACGCTGGGTGGAAGAAGGAAATTTGCAACGTGCTCGTCCTCGTCGCTCCTTTGTTAACGATCAAGAAGAAGGGAGGAAAATGTATGATGCGTGCGAGAGAGAGAGAGGTAAAGAGGAAGAAAAAGACGAGTTGACATGAAATGAGGTGGTACGGTGAAGAGGAGAAATAAATAGACACACATTTACGCATACACGATACACGCATACATGTAAACATAAACACGAATACACGTCGTCTAGGGTACATAAACTATAACGTCGTAGGCAGCATTGAATTTTTGTACCAACTTCTATTGTAGCTCTTAAGTGTCGCGAATTCTTATGTTCTCGTACGACGACGGTGAGGCCACCGGCGTTCGTTGGTTTTTCGGTTTTCTCGATTAAACCAATGCGGGCTACGGACTCGGAGAAGGCAGAGGGTGGATACGTTTCTTCATCGATCGAGATTAATTGATCATTTTTACAAATATCATCATCCTTCCTATTGACGTTCGAAAAATTCGGGACTCTACTTTTCTCCGATCGATCGATAGATTTGTTTCGAGAAAGATCGATCGATTAAGAAACGTTGAAAAAGCGCCGATCCGCGCCCCTTGGTTCAACCACGTCGATTCCCGAGAGTCGCGGTACGAATTTCGAGAGAGAGAGAGAGAGAGAGAGAGAGTGAGAGAATGGTAGGGAGAGAGGAAAAGAGAGCAATTTAATTCGAGCGACGCTTGACCGTCCTAAAAGTTCGTCGATGTGCTCTTACGCGTCTATAGTCGTGTTTAAATTTTTGTGATAGCATTAACGAGTCGAATCAGCGCGAAAGATTCGATCGTGATGGTTGAACGGTTGGGATGAAAATTGATTGGTGGCCCGGAACGATTAAAAAAAAAAAAAAGAATAAAAAAGAGAGAAAGATAAAAAGGGCAAGAAAAAATAACGAAAGCAGCTTTTGGCTGAGAACTTGGCCTTCTGAAAACTGGGTTGTCGAGTAAAGATTTTAACGCTGAATTTAGGAAATTGAGTCTACGCTCTGCTCCGACGCTAGGCCATTTTTTCCTGTCCATGTGAACAAAATTCAAAGTCCGCGTGCGAATTATACAATTTTTCTCTTTACAATCTTTCGTGATGAAAATAAGAAATTTTTCGCCGCGAGAACTTCGACGTTGATTCGACCGTAAAGAATATGTTTTACGATCCAATGAAGGATCGTTTAATGGTAATAGAGCTCTTTCCTTTGCGCGTGTAGCCTGATCGCTGAATCGAAAGTACTTTTAGCTGCTAAGAATCGGATGGAAGATCAGACTCGTGGTACACACTTTCGTTGTCGATCGAAACCCTCGGGACGACGAAACGATTTTTCTTGCGTTTCTCGTTGAGGAAACGGAAGAAAAATTGGAAAGGATCGAAATTCCCGAACCACTTGGGAGAGTATCAAGAAATGAAAAAGGAAGAAATTTAAAAATGATCAACTCGGGAATTTCAATCTTAAATTATTTATCGAACGAGCGATTAATTATTTATCAAGAGTCCTCCGATATAACGATCGTCACGTTAACAATACGCGGCAAACACACGTAGCGAAGGGTCTAATTAATCGTTAATACGTCATATCTGCAAATTCGAACGTTCGACGAACAATACGGATGTAGAGAAATAATCTAAGAGCCGATATAAAAGAGTCAAGATCATACTTTGTCGAGCGAGCGAATAAGCGGATGTCGAATAAAAATTAAAGAAAAAAAATAAAAAAAAAGAGAGAAGAAACAAAGAAGAAAAATCCCTCGAAAAAAGCCTCGTCTCGTGGATTACAGTTCGTACACCTTACGCGCTTTATGGTTTAACGAGGAATAAACTTTAAAGGATCTACGAGATGATGCCGAGGACTGCGAAAAAGAGGACGAAAGGAGAGTGAGCGTGAAAGAACGGCGTGAAAGTCGGGAGTGCCTGGCGGAATGACTGAGCGAGAGAAATAATAAAGGGAAAAAAAAAGAAAAAAAAGAAATCAATGTTAAAACCGATCATCATTATCAATTCGCAAGTTTAAAAGAAGAAAAAAAAAGAAAAAAAACTGGTCTTCGTTATCCGCCATTTTTACACTCATAAGTTTAAATCTAATTTTGTGCAGGTGTGGACGGTAAGCTCCTAGGGTATCGCACCCTTTAATCATCTTTGAGTTTTATTCTGTACTTCGACACCCAGACGAAACTTTCTACATTTTTTTTTAACTTTAATCTATATAACTAAAAAATAATCTGGGTATCAACGAAGGACAGTTCGTTAGGTCGAAGAAATGAAGCCCTTGGAGCAAGCTCCACGTTGAGGTACACTATACATACCAGTTTGAACGTTTACGTTTTCGATTAATCGTGGCAAAAAGGGAAAAAAGAACTGCCCTGTTCTATGTGTGTAAGAACCATAAAGCTTAATGAAGAACATTATACTATGAACTTACGGGATACTAAATAAAAGTAAGCCAAACCGTTGAGAAACTTTACTTATTTATGATTTTTTGTCACGTTCTCTAGATCACCTTTGAAACTTTCTTCCTAAGAGTATATAGAACTTACATAGCTCTGGGACTTTGTTTTTGACTCAGCGTGTACGCGTAATAAATCGTTATCGTATTCAAATGTGCATTTATTGCTCCCATTTTGACGTCGCTATAAATAATCATTGGAATGGTAATACATCCAGTCTTCTTAACTAACTTTAAGTTGAATTTATTTTCGACGCTGTTGAGCCACAAATCCTCCTTCTCATGATGGCAGCACTGGTGCCACAGCACTCTTCATTCTGACTTTTTGTTCTTATCACGAGTTTTCATACACTTTAAAATAATTCTTTGAAATGAGATAATGTAAAATACGCTTATAAGTCTCAGGAAACCCATTATTGTTACTTGCGTTAATAGCTCCGAAATTGTAAAAGGAGACATTCCACAAGATATCGTACACAACATGAATCCATCAATACCAACAGTTGAAAAAAATTTGCCATTCTACAACAATCAAATAATATGAGAATCAAATCATCAGTAAGTAATTTATTTTTTATACTTAATTTTATTTTATTTTTCTTTACTTAATTTTACTTAAACTTACCAAGGCATCTTTAAATAATTGATCCGCAATTACATTGGGCTTAACTAAACCTGACGTTTGAGATATCAGTTTTGTTTCGAGTAACTTTGTTAGTTCTTCTGTAGCAAAACCAGGTGTATCGGTATCAGGAGGTAGACAGAGAGTCACTGAAATATTATACAGAGTAAGTTCCATAGATATACTCTCTGCCAATCCACGCAGTGCAAACTTGGAGCTACAATAAGCAGAAAAACCATAGATACCTATACAAAAAATAATATATTTAGCAATTTCCTTCTTTTCATGATAATAATAGCAACAAATTTAAGAATACTACCTAAAAGAGAAGCTTGAGAAGCCGTTAATACAATAATTCCATCTTTAGCAGTTTTCATACTTTGTACGACAGCTTTGATGCAATTATATGTACCGAAAAAATTCAGGTCCATAATTTTGCGTACATCAGAAGTGGATGTATCTTCAATTTTAGCGCAAATAGAAGAACCAGCACAATTTACTAGCATATATATGGGACCCATAGTCTTTTCCAGCTCCATAAATGCTTTTTGTATTTCTTCATAGTCCTGAGTTACATCAAGGGGTAAATATTCAACACGCTGGGTGTCTTTATTCTTACAAGCTTGCATTATTTCGTATTTAGCCTTTTCTAATTTTTCTACATCACGGGCTATGATAGTTACATGAGCTCCTTGTTTAGCAGCAGTAATTGCTGCAGATTTTCCAATTCCACTGGAACCACCAGTTATCTGAAAAATTATAATAGCGTTTTGATAATATAAACGGATAAGGTTATATTTTTAAAATACTCACCACAACATGTTTATTTTCTACACTTCTTACATAACCACGGTAAAAGAGTAACTTAATTATCAAACCACTAATTAACAAAACAAGTATGGCTATTATAAGATTAATTGACAATACCATTTTACATTAATGGATTATCATAATACATTTCACAATGCCGGTGACTTAAAGTCAGTACTTTTGTACTCTTGGGAAATAATTATAAGCTAGAAGAACTTATACGATTATCGCTTACAATTAACTGATGCATGATATTTTCATGAAAGATTTCCATAACTATGGATAATTCTAAAATACCAAATAATGACAGTTGCGTGTAACGGACGTGGTTAGAAACACAACCAGTTTGGACTAACCATTATTACCAACGGAGCTGTGAGTTCGATTTGCAAGCAAGTTTGCAAAATGACCACATTCAAATCATTCATTTATTACATGTTAAAATGTGTTCAATTCAAAGATATTTCATTGGGTTTCATATTAAATATTAAATCTTATCATTGTTAATTGTTAGTTCATTTATGTTGGAGGATACTGATAAGTGGCGCCATCTCGGAAGCTCTTCTTTCGTTAGCTACGTCGATAAAAAAGTTTCTTATCGATTATAAAGTAGGTATGGTATTAATTAAACAAGCGAGAATTTTACATATTATTATACTTTAATAAAAACTAATTTAGAGAAGGAGAGAGAGAGAGAGAGAGAGAGAGAGAGAGAGTGTCGTAAGGAGGCAATCATAATTAAAACTGATAAATGTTAGGGATGCGTAAATTGGAACTGACTCAGTTTCAACGAGAGTCGAAATATTTCTAATATTTTTGCTATAAAATAATTATCCTAGGGAGACTCAAGCGAAGATGAAATTTATTAAAAATATACATTTATTCGAGAATACTCGTTGTGATCTAGATGGACGATCGATTACTCGATTTTTAAAGTTTTTTTTTTTTAAATATTTATAGGGGCGTACGCGAGAGAATTTTATAGGATAAGTTATCAATTAGTCACTAGGAGTACGATAATAGTTTGGTGCGCGCGTAAGAGGATGAGAGACCGATGCGGAAAGGGTAGAAAGGAGGAGAGAGAGGGTGAGTACGTTCTACGTGCATTCACCCTCCGTTACCGTGGCGCAAACTCTCCCCGTCCTCCCCCCGCCGTTATCCTTCTTGCAAAAGGTCACGTACCACCGCCCTCTCGATCGTTCACCTCGTCCTAGGACTCGTGCTACCGGCAGGTTAAAGTGGAAGGTACGAATAACGCGTTGAATCCTTTCTCCGTACTTTAGTATCCTATTTATAATTTTCTTTCAAAGTATATCTTAAAGAATAATAATCGTATCATTGATATCATTTGTCAACGTTTAGATACATTTACTCGTATCTTTTTCAAATGAGCAAAGTTCATCGGATAATTTTTTATCGAGAATTATTTAGAATACTTTGAGAAGCAAGAGTGCCGATCTAGATATTTGTGTATACATTAGCTATACTATATTCGTCAGTGGCTAAATCGATAAAAGTTGAGGACTAAACGAGAATAGAGACGATCCATGCCGGTAGGTGGGACATTAAAATTTTACGTTAAAAACGTAGTTGAGTGAAAGAAGAAGAAATAGAAAGAGAGAAAGAGAGAGAGAGAGAGAGAGAGAGAGAGAGAGAGAGATAGAGAGAGAGAGAGAGAGAAAGAGAAAGAGAGAAAGAGAGAAAGAAATAGGAGAAAATATAAAGGCAACCCTCTTGGCAGAGTCAGCGAGTCCGCATTCCCCTTCGCAATTGCACGCGGAATGTTTTCGCATACCGAAGACGTTAAATCGTACGGAAAATTCAACGCGACATCGAATGGTCGGTGCAACGCTTAAGAGGGAGCAAAATAGAGAAAAACATAGAGACAGAAGGATAGAGAGAGGGAGAAAGAGGTAACGGGGGGTAGAGGTAGTAGCATCGAGCCTCGCAGTCTGCAGGATCCGCAGTCCGGAGCTGTGATTTCGGACGGAGCGAGAGAGAAAGGATGCTGCGAACGAGAGGTAAGCTCGGAGTAGCAGAAAGAGGGAAAGAGAGAACGTACGTTGCACCCAAGCGAAGGGAGTGTCCCGTGCAGTCCATCCCCGCCGCCCGCTAGCAGCACCCTGTCGGTGATACCATAGCTACGACCCTGGATTCCATGTCTCCCGGGCTGCACCAGGGGGTGAACGCCCTCGCCTGACCCAGACTCAGAATCGATCTCCATTCGTTGCACGCTTGGCAAACCCTCCTGTCCACCCTCCCACTTCCACCCATCTTCGGCCACCCACCGTGTACTGCCTGCTCAAAAAGAGACATCTCTTTTTTTTTCTTCCAGCTCTCTCTCTCTCTCCCCCTCTCACTCACCCTCTTCCACTCATTCTTTTCATCTATCTGTACTCTTCCTCTCGCGGATTTTCTACCGCGGATACGTCACTTGTGATTTTAGAAAAAGTGTCAACGAGGCCGAGAGCAACCGAGTCTCGAAAGATCCTGCAAGCTCTAGGCTACTTTGTACTTTTTCGAATTACAAGCGCGAGACTTAGAATATACTCCGTGGAAAAATTATCCAAGATGATATATTACATATATCTGAAATCGGATTGGGGTATCGTTCTAGTAAAATGATTTAATTTCGCGTTAGTCATGACGCTTCGACGCCTCAGGAAGCACTTTTATAAATCATTTGGGATAAGTCTAGTGACTTTGTCAAGATTCAAAAGACCGCTCGTGAAGTCGATGTAAGGATTACTGTGAGTTCGCGATTGCTTCGATTTCGCTTTTTCTTTCTCTTTTTGTTTTTCATATGGTCGTCCGACTAACGATCCAAACTCGATGAAAGTCAGCTGAGAGAGCAGTGGTGCATGAGCTCGTAAATGAGTGCCGCGCGACTCGACTCGCATTCTTCTCCTACACTTTCTCGCAATCTCGAGGGTGTTACGCTAAGTCCAACGGACTTTTTTAACGACCCGGTTCTCGAGAACGTTCAACGTTTTCAGGCTCCGGAGGGTGTAAGAGAGAGAGAGAGAGAGAGAGAGAGAGAAAGAGAAAGGAAGAGAAAAAGCACATTAACGTACCCCCTTCTAACATTATACTTAGCACAGAACCGTCTGTAAGATATCGTTCTCGTCGAGGCTCTCAAGAATATTACGAGACAAAACGAAACAAAAATAAATTTTATAGATTTTGTCCCTTTTCGATATCTCAAATCGAAACACTTTACAACGTCAGCGATGTCAAAGGTTAAAGACCCTGTTCGATATTTTAATTATAATCGCAAGTATACTTGATCATCGAATCTTTTAACTTGATAATATGTTAAATTTAAGGTCGCAACATCGAGCGTATATATGAATGTAGATGTAAAAAATGTGTAAGGAAAAGACGTGCTACATTTGACTGTAATATTATTACAAGTTACAGATGCAGGGAAAATGTATGAAAGCGTTGTACGTTCTGTCTTTTGACGTTTCCCCACAGGGAGTTACAATTTCGATACGAAGTAGATTCAGTTTCTATGCTTTCTCAGAGAAGGAGAGCTCGAACCTCCGCGGAATTATTTGGAGAAAACACGCCGGATCGCTGTATCTCGACGGTAAAGAAGCGATACTTGCTTTCCAACTGTGAAAATGAGGTCATTTCATAGCAACCCTGCGTCCGTCCTTTCGTACGTCCCCCATCGATGCATCCCCCTCGCTTTGAAGCTGTACCCCCTCTCTTTTCCGCTCAGAGATATGTCAACACTTGTGCGGAACAATCGGTAGAATAGTTCAGTGCACCAACGGAGAGTTCGTAGAACTCCTCGCTGACGGTTGCGCATTCGCTGTGCGTCGCTTGCCTCGATTACCTTACTCCGAACTATCTGATCGCGAACTTTCAACTTTTCTCTTATTTACAACACCTACGAAAAGTGGACCAAAAGAAATCTCGGTCTGACAACTACAACTGAATTTAAATAGATAACGTAGAAATAGAGATTCTATCGTTTGATACTTTTGATATAGTTCAGAATAAATGCTATAAAAAATGAGTTTATTTCCACTTTCGCATAGGATTACGCAGTCAATTATAAAATTACATATAGTAATCATAAAAGTTAATAGAATTGAAAAAGTTATAGAAAAATAAACTTTTTCCTTTTTCCAATACGTGATGCACTTTTCTACTATCTAACTTGAATTTCCTTTCCTCGCTTCCATCTTCAACGCAAGACAAAGTTCTACGCGTTCTCTTGTAGGTATCATCCTCTGGAAAAATATATGCATTATCTTGCAAGAGTAAACGGTATCCGTAATTATTTATTCGTCCAGTAATTGGATGCCGACGATCTCACAGTCGATGGCACTCGTAAAGGGAACTCGTAAGCGGCTTGATGCGGCCCCGCCTATAATTCACATGCGCCTATATCCCAGACAACGGTGCTTTCGGAAATGCACCTAGATATTAAAGTAAAGATATCATTCGATCGTAGTTTAGATCGACTCTTCGATTGAACTTTTCTTATACGAAAATAAAGCTGATACTTGTGATGTCCTCTATTTTTATTTTTTAATACATTTTTTTAGTATTTAGATACTTTCTAATAATGAACAGAGATTTTACAGGTTCATTTATTTATCGAGCACTTTTTCGAGTAGAATCAAGTATTCGAATCGGTAGGAAGTTCCAACCATCGATGTCTAATCATGAGTAGAGATAAAGTAGAATTTCGATCGAGTCGGAAATCGTGGCTGGGAAGGGAAAAGGGCGTGGGCAATGTTTTGTTGAAGAATGAGAGAGAGAGAGAGAGCGCGGGAGGGGAGGTGTATAAAAGGGAAGAAAGCAAAGTACCGAGACGAGTAAGGGAGAAAAAGAGTCTGGTACTTGAGGGTGGTGTTGACGGTGGTGGCTTCGATGGTAACTTCGGTGGTGGTGATGTCGACGGCGTGTGTTGGGAGGCCGCTCGGGCCGCGCATGCGTTCCAGCTACGGCCCTGACTGCACCGTAAGGGTGGTTCAATGTTACGGGAGGGCACTGACCCGAGCCAAGAATCCACCCCACGGTGCACCGAGGTAGCTACACCCCTGATACTCCGCGCCACTCTACCCCTTCTCTTTTCCTCTCACTCTCTTTCTCTCTCCCTCCTCCCTCTCTTTTTGTTCCTTCCTATAGGCAACACTACTACCAACGGCATCAGCAGCATCAGCACTGGCACCAACACTGGCAATGAGGGTGCAGCAGTTCCACGGCCCGGGGTAACCATCATCTACCTCTCACAAATCACCTGGACCACCGTTCATGGGCTGGCTGCTTTATCCACCTCTCTCCACCTAAAGAGAGATAGATAGGTGCACTATTTCAATCCCCATAACCATTTGGAATGAGTTTACAGGATATGCA